TCTTTTTCTGTTTATTATATCTAATAATCATCATGCTCAATATTATCGTTAGTCAGAACATTTAATTTATAAATCAATCTTCATTTGAATAAGAATAATTATTTTAAGTAAATATTTAAACAAGAAAAATATTAGAAAAATCAAAATAAGACAAGAATTATGAGTGTATTAAACAAATCGATAGTTCTATTTGTTAATAGATATTTTTAAGTATCTATAAATGATGCGAACATTTCCAAATCGAGAACTGATGCTATCAATAGATTGAGTTTGTTCAGTCTACGACTCGATTAAGGGAACCCCCCCCCCCCTCAGAAACGATTTCTCACCTAAGATAGACCATTTGGGCTGAAACTTTCAGGAACAAGTGGTCCTGGTGAGATATGCTTGTGATAAAAATTTCAGCTCGATACACTCAAGTAGATCGAACTTACGGCCTGTTTTCATACCTCCCAGGAAAATAGGAATCACTCAGTCGTAGTAAAGGCTAGAGAGCTCGGGATGGCGTCAAATTAAAGCTAGTCTCTGTGCGCAACTTTTCATCACATGGATTTTTGAAATTCCTTTCCATTCATTTTTTATGACCATTTTACTGGGCAGGTCTGCAAAAACATGTCACTTGAGCGACAATAAATTCCACGTTTATCAGCCCAGGAGAAATGTATCAAAAATCCGTCTGATGAAAAGTTAGCCCTGATTCAGAGCTTTAAAACAAAAAAAAATATTGAATAATACCCAGGTCCGGGACGGAGTGATTCCAATTTTCCTGCTAAGAAACCATATTCTGAGAAAAGCGTCAACGAAGTTTTAGAAATGGTATTTTCATTCAAATGCAGGCAATAATGGTATATTGATAATATTTATGTGGAATTTTTGAAAGCACGCAATAGATGGAGTAAGCTAGCACTACAGGTCGTACTATATGATATAAGAATGTTTATTCCATGCTGATAGAATTAAACAAGTAGTCTTCCCAAAAATAACAAAAACCGGGTACTGAGGTGGAAATCTCCTACTAAGGTCTATAAAAATTTGACCTTTTTTTAGAAATTTATATATATTCTGAAAGAGGAAACTTCGCTGCATCTTCCTATGATAAAAACTCGACTTCGATTACTTTTCCAAAAAATGGATTTTCTGAGGGGGGCCCTTAAAGCAAATGTCCAAAGTATTAGATTTTTATATAATACTCTCAAAAAAAAATATAATGAATGCATTTTTTCAATTTTAAGTCTTATAATTAAATTTTGTATGTAATTCATATGAATATTTCCAATCGGTCTCTGTTATCGATTACCGTATTTGATAGTATAGTAGCTTATATGCTATTATTAGCATTGTATCATCTGTTTTGATTTTCAGTCTGCTTTACTAATACGTATACTATATTTTTTTTTCTCTTACCTTAACACAATGTTTTTTTTCAGGTCATACTGTTCTTCGATAGAAGAAAAACATACAATGCCGACACTAACATATATTATATTCTATACTATCAAATATGATAAATGATAGTAAAGATCAATTGAGGATACTTTCGCATGAGCTATATATAAACTTCAATTATCAGACTTAAAATTGAAAATACACACCTCTTCTATTTTTTTTGAAAATTAGCATATTAAAGGCTAATATTTTTGGGGTACCTGTCTAAGCCGAGTTGATCTATTCATGGTATCAGTTCACAATTTGTGTTGTTAATAGATATCTGATGCTGTCTTATTAAATTCAATAGAGAATTTCATTCTTATAAAAAATGAAATTTGAAAGTCGAGTTGTACAATAACTTTATCTAGTCTTAACTAGATCTTAATAAGAATGTACGAATATCAAAATTAGTTTTGTAATTAATTCTCAGATATTAGAAGAAAATTGATATTTAAAGGACGACTATGTTCTAGTGTACAAATGATTTTATCATCATATAAATGATATCTTCATTTAAATTAAATAAATGTAGCTTCAACGATTTACTTTTTTTTGTTTTATTGATTTAAAGTTTGTTCCTATTGACCTTTTTTACAGCATGAATACTAAAGCAAAATAGGCTTCATTATCATAATTACAACTTAGACGTATTAAAATATGATGAATACATTTATTTTTTAAGTTAAAAATAGACATAATATAATAATTAACATCTAAGTTGAGTTTATTATAATGTTTATTTTTTTGCAGGTGATCAAAAAGATCGAGCAATAAAAAAAAAAACAGAAACTCATTTAAACTGTATTTATCTAATTAAACACAATAAAAAAATAAATAGAGACCATGTCGACTGATTGATTTTAAAATTACATACACCTTTCATAAGGTTGAAATCTATAGACCATGAAATTCTACATTTCTTTTTTTTGTTTGTCTTGCTCGAGGCAATATTCGATGAGTAAAGTAGTCTTGTGAAATTGATCACATTTAAATGTTTTTGTATAATAACCATTATGTTTTTCGTTTTCTAATTTCATATGACTAAAGCAATGTACTTTTTCATGGTCGACGAAAAGCACATATTTACCGTGTCTATCGATTTATTTATTAAGGTTAGATAGATAAAAGACATCATACCTGTCTGACCCTTCATAAATTAATCAATAGACATGATCATATATTATTTTGTAAAGTATGAAAAATAAAAAATAATGATTTCTATTGTTATTTTTCAAAAAGATTATTTTGCTCTTCAAATATACTATTAAATAAAGACTAATGCTAAAAAAATATGTGAAATTTCATAAGTCTATCTTTTGGATACGGTAGAGATGTATAAATTTATGTAATGATAAGATCTTTGAAAAATTTTATAAAGTAGAACATAATGTTAGTTTACAAAGGTTACGATTCTTTGTTTGATTTTTATATAATATTGTCTTATTTGCAAGTTCTTACATTTGACTTTTTTTTTTTTTAATCTGAGTATTGATCTTGTTTCATATACATATCATAATAAAGATAAGAAATAAAAATATGTATAGATTTATATCACCGAGCAAATATTAATAAATGCTTTTTTTTTTTTACATGAAATTGTAATTTTTAACACAGTTTAACAAAAGTTTCATAGTACTTTAATATAACTAAGAGTTTGCTGATTGTTACTAGTTAATAATAAGTTTAATTAGAATCTACTTCAATAACAAATTTAATAATTATATGAAAAATATTTATACATATGTCACAAATTTCTTGAAAAAAATCGACACTTTTAATTCCAATATATAATATATTACATATAAAGTTCATTTGAAGAAGGCACATATCACAAATTCTGTTTACAATATTAGTTTCTTTTAATATCTTCTAATCAAAATTACATTAAACCAAATATCCAAATAGTACTTTTGTGTATGTCTAGTCTTACATAATATGTGATAAGACTCGTCATCTGGTAAAATTCCCTTGTGTATTTCATAATATGATAAAAAAATGAATCATACAAATATTTCTGTATTTGAATGAATCCTTATGTTTACATTCCTATAGCTAAGTTTAAAAAAACATTTGCATATAACGAAATTTTAAAAGTTTCTCTTCGATAATTTAAGAATATTTGAATTGTTATCGAATATTTTTGATTATAGATTTTCTCTCTAAGTTAATTTATATTTTATCTTATAAGAAATATAAAACTTATTAAAAATATATAACAAAGTATCTGAATTGCCATCTACAGGATAACCTTAGTGCTGGGTACATATCAAAGCTCAAAAGCAGAATTTCATGTAAATGAAATATTTTAATTTATTTTCAAAGTCCAATAGGAATTGTGTCAATTATATGCAATGCCAAAAAAAAATCCACCTTGTTTTCTTATTTATATGGATTCATTTAATAAACAGAAGCTTTTTTTTGTAAAATTCAGATTACTTAATAAAACCAATGATTGTATAAGAAAAAAATAACATGAATTTTATTTGTTTATTCAAGGTAAAATATTGATTTAACAATCATAATAAAGTTCAACTATGAATATTTGATCTTAACTAGTATATCATTTGGAATCTGGATATAACTATCGGCTAATCTCTGACTTTGATAAATAATATGGATTTCCTATAATTTTTCTGTCAAATATAATATGTTGATAAATGACTCTGTCATCACCATGAAAAACAACATTGTAAAATATTTATTAGATATTTACAAAGTTATAAATTTTAAAACTTCTTGTATATTATTCATTGCTTTTAAATAATAAAAAGTATAGATATGAAATTTAATCTTATAAATCTTATCAATAACACACTTCTCTCCTATGTTTTAGACATCAATAAATATCATTCAGCCTAATATGATATATTTTTCCCTTGTTGTTATGGTCCATTACAAATGTTGTTATATCATATTTCATTGATTTAATGGTCGACTAAATTGCTCTTGTTTTTTTTATTTAAAATTATATTTCGAGAAACAAAAAAAAAAGAGTTAAACAACGTACTCGACCTAAAGTGAAAGAGATTACAATGAATTTGTTTTTTTTTTGTTTTTTTGAAAAAAAAGAATACATTAAAATGCTATGATGAAAAAAAACTTATGTCTATTCGATTAATATATTTTAACATAGTACATTAAGGGTAATATACTGTAAGAATAAAAAAAAAAATAAATAATATGCGATATATACACATATTTCATTTCAATATGTTTATTTTTTGTTAAAAAATATCTACCAGCTACATAAGAAGAAATGAAAATCGAATTTGATATACATCTCTCTCTTGTTGTAGTCACACGATTGACATTCCAAGCATCGACTAAAAAGCAATATAATGAAGAGAAAAAAAGAAAAAAAAAGAAAATATACATAAGAGAAAAATGAAAGACAACTCCGATCTCTATGCATACATACATATACAAATACACTCTATTTGTTGTTTTCATACACTATACATATAAATATAACAGAAAAAGACGTAATTTATCTTGCTAATATTTTCTTTTTGCTTTTTTTGAAAAAAAAAAGGAAATAAAAGTTTTCATTATTTAGTCTTCTTCGTTTTGTTTCAATAAAATCTCATTTCATTAAAATCACAATCATGTGGTAATGAAATTGTTGTTGATGTTGTTTGTGCTAATTCTGTTTGTAATTGATAATTTCTTCCATTATTATTATCCCAATATTCATATCCATTAACACAATAATGTAAAACAAAATCAATTCGATCAACATCTTTTGGTATATTAACTATAAATTGAAATTGATCTAAATTACGAAAATCATTTGAATGACGACAATATTGAGCTTCAATTTCATATATATTTAACCATTGATTAAATGTATATTTAATAGAAACATTTTTATTAAAATTAATATTTGTTACCCATAATGTTCCAATAAGTTGTTGTTCACCGGTTGAAGAATATTGTAATGGTATATCAACATGTTCTAATTTTATTTGATATTTCCATATTTCATGTAAATATATATCGGGATGTTCAGAATCAGGTTGACGAAATAAACAAAAAAATCTTTTTAAACATGATTTATCATTTATTTGTTTATTTGGTTTAACAATAACATCAAATGACCATGGTTTATGTTCTACATAAGATGTTGTTGGTAAATAGAGATTATTTTTTGTAAATGTTGGTGGTGATGATGATAAAAATGATGTATTTAATAAAAATGAGAATTCTTTTGAATCATCATTTATTGATGTTTGTATATATTGCACTTGTGCTAATTCACGACCAATAGAATCAGCAAAATGAACATTTTTTTTTGTTGAAACAGTTGAACGTGTACGTTTAAGACCACCGGTTGGTGTATTTAAATTTGATGAATTAGGTGACATAATAACTGGTTTTGATGAAATTTGAGAAGAAGTTTTAGGTGTTTCAATATTTAATGCGTCATTAGGTAAATAAAAATCTGATGAAATTTTTGATGTAATCTCTTGTGATGATGATGATGATGATGCAGCTGCACGACGATAAAATCGTTGTCGTAATCCTAGAGGAATAAATAAATGATATATGGGAATATTCTTTTGATTCGATTAGCTTACTTCTGCCTCGATATCGACTGACTGAATCTGATTTTTCTGTATCATCGATTGTTTGATTAGATTGTTGATTTTCTGAAATTTTTATTTCAATAGGATTTGTATTTTGTTTCTCTTCATTTTCTTTTAATTTTTCATTATTATTATTATTTTGTGTTGATTCTTTATTAATATTAATTTTTTCAATAAGATCATTTATTGTTTGAGTTTCATCAAGTGATATTGAAGTTTTTGTTAATGATGAACGTCTTCTTCGTCGACGAAAATGACGTTCACATGGTAAATCATTATCATTAATAGATAAATTTGTTTCAAGTAGAATATCTTCATGTATTTGTGAATTTATTAAATCATCATTGATTTGTAAACTTACTGTATCATCATTTATTTTTATATCTATTAATTCATCATTTAAATTTAAATCATCATTAATTATTATAATTTCTTCTACTGAATGATTTGTAATAATAGATGAATTTATATTATCTATACTATCATTAGTAATATTTTCTGTTGTAGAGATTGATACCGGTTGAATTTTATCACAGTTAAATATAATTATATCATCAAAATCAATATCATCTTTATCTTGTTCATTTAATTTTAAACATGTATTTGTTATAGGTAATGATAATGTATAATCTTTTAATGAATTATTAAATTGTCCATTTGTATTTGTTGTTTGTATATTATATTTTGATATTTGAGGTTCAGATGCAAAACGTGTTAAAAAATTTATTAATCTTGTTGAATCATGAAAAAATAATCTATCATCAACTGAATGTCTCATTAATATTGATGTATCTTTTTTTTGTGATGTTGATGATCGATTTATATTTATATTTGGTGTACGATGTGTTTGTTGTTGTATAAGTATATTAGCCATTTTTGAATCATGTAATAATGATAAATCAATATGTTGTTTATTAATAAGTAAAGGAGATTTTGTTAAATTATTTAAATCTTCCTAAAATAAAAAAAAATTGAACTTTTTTTTATATCATAAATTTATCATTTGTCTATAATATAAGACAAAATAGTAATTCAATATTTAAAAATAGCTATGTATATATTACACTTTTTATAGTAAAAAAAAAAAGTCAATGAAACACACACAAAGAAAAAAAAAAAAAAAGAAAAAACAAAGTATCGAACGGGCAACGCGTGATCGATGCATGATATAATAATAATGGAAAAGATTTTTTTTTCTTTATCAAGGTTTCTATTTTTTTCCTTTTTTATGTTTCATTTCAAAGAAGAAGAAATAGTTCGATATTAAGAAAAACATATATATGATTTTATAGCGGTCAATAGTTCATCTTATGAGCGTATCTTCTTTTTTTTTTTTTTTCCTCATTTATTTGTTCATATTATATCATGATGAGAACGCATGCTTAATGTATGACCTTTCTTTTATGCAAACAACTAAATGTTGTAGGTTAGGTGTTTGATGCTATTGTTACCATTATCTATTATGACGATGTAAGAAAAATGGAGAGAGAAAACTTTTTATCCTACTGAGAACTAGACAACAAGATAATAAGAACCTACTTTTTCTCTCGTTTTTGCCATTCCTACAGACTATTACATCGCACAAACTATAATTGAAGCACTTCGTCTCTTCTTTTTTCTTTTTTATTTACCAGAAAGAATGGTAATCCAAGTTAGCCAAATATATTGCAGTTTGATGAAATATATATATGTGTTCTAGACTTTTCCTCACTTAAACCAAACGTGTGCGTCAGGTGTATATGTCTGTGACACGGAGTCAAAGCTATCAGCTGCATTTATACACGTATATATACATGATTCAAAAGGAAGAGAGAGAGAGAGAGCTGGAGGTGTATGTGAAAGAAAGAGAAAACGCTGAATCGTCATCTGATTGTTGTTCTTGTTTACTATTTTGAAAATTATATTTGTCATCGAAGCGAAGAGCGAAGTAAAAAAAATTTGCTTTTGTTTCTTTTTTTCTTTCTGGTAGCTAAAAATCGGTAGAGTAAAAGGATATAAGGGCCAGACAGAGAGGAAAGAAAACGAGAAAAATTGTTGTTTATTACTAGTAGTCGACTTTGCCCTTCTCTTTTATATTAAGAAAGAAAAAAAAACAACAGTACTCATAAAAGAAAAAAAAAAAAAAATTATCTTTAGAATAGATAATAACAACGTATCAGTCGATAACTTGACATATATGAATAGAAGTTTCTAATGTATTAATATACATAAGACTGAAACAGCTGTAAGCTTTTTATCATAGAAATGAAAAGAAAAGAACTAGTTGCAAGAGAACGAAGCTCGTTAAGTAATTTTAACAGTAAAAATCATGCAGTTACTGTATGATGTAAAGCGTGGTCAACGTTTTTGTCGTAATACAAATAAAATATAAAGAAAAGAAAAGAAAAGCGTATATGATAAGTTGATGATACTAATGCAATAGAACTTTAAGTTCGAGGTAATATTATAAAAGAGACATGCGTTAAGCGCATGATATCGAGTAAATGGTTCGATTATTCAGTTAAGAATCATACCATATCCTTAACCCTGCTTGCGTCCCCCCCCCCCCCCTCCCCAAAAAAAAAGAATATAGAAATATCATTGCTTGTATTATAATGAGAAGAAAAAGTGCAGTAAACGGGTATTTAGAAAAGAAAAATACTATAATTTATTATTAACGAGGGGTTTGTTTTTATTTCGCATATGAATGTAGTTTTAAGATAAATAAAGAAAGAAATACTAAGATAAAGTTTTCAGTTGGAGTTCTTTTGTTGACAAAAAAAAAGGATACGACAGGTACTTCAAAGAGATGTTGTTTTTTTTTGTAGATAAAGTTGATATATGGGGATTGAAGAATTAAATAAAACACTTGCCTTCAAGAGATCTTTTTATATATCAAACTTAAATCTTATATTTATTTTCGTTCTATTTAATCAAACTAAACAACAAGTAGATAGATTTCTTTTTTTTTTCTATTTACCAACGACTCAATAGTAAAAAAATCGATTATATTCTTTCAATCATTCTAAATAGAAAAGAACCTATTTCTTTTCTTTCATATTCAAAATATACCTTGTTTTGTAGATTTCACTTAAATGATACTTATACCTTACTGAATATATGTTGTGTATTCAACTATGTTTGATATATATTTATATATATACACCTGTTTATGTCCATAATTTGATGACTATTAAATATTGATTTGCCTCAAAAATTTGCTTATTCATCCTTGATATTTGTAAGCAAAACAACAAACATACAAAAACAATGAACTCACTAATAGATTCGTAATCGATAAGTTCACATAAAATCTTAACAATAATGGTAATCAATTAGAAATGCATGTGCTTTACGTAAATATATCAAATTATGTATAAGAGAAAAGCAAAAAAGAATATATATCAAAAAGCGTTCCGCCCAAAAAAAAAATTAACATATAAAAAATTTTTTAATTGTATTTCATTTGTAATAAAAGGTCATGCTTTGTACTATCTACGTGTATTAGCAACTTAAAAAACTATTGAATAGACTCTTTTTTTGTTTTTGTCTTTCCTGTTTTTATTGGTTTACTACGTATTATATTCCAACGTGTAGGTTGAACAATATCTGATTATTTTGTTTTGAGAAGAAAAAAAATCTATAAATGAAATCTGCCAGACTTTTTAAAATAATAGGAAGAATGTATAAGAAAGTGTGTCATAGGAATAGTAATAAAAAAATAAAATACTACATAATAACAAAATAATTTTCAATTTTTTGCTTTTATGATTCGTGAAATTTCGATTACATTTTTCTTTTTTCACAGAATTAAACGTACTATTTCATACTATGTGTTAAATATTGAATCGATATGCCTTGAAGACATGAAATTTATATATATTTTTTTTTCTGTATGTGTTTGGTTTTTTTTAAAAAATTCTATTTACTTACTTCAAGTGGTCGTATTGATGACGATGACATAGTTGTAGTGAATGAAGATGAAGATGGAGGTGTTCGTTGTCGTACAAAACATATTATCCGTGCTGTAATATTGAGCATAGACATAAATATAAGTGCAAATACAACACGAATTTTATGTGCTACAATTCGACGCCAATAAAAACAGAGACGTTTAAGAATTGTAAAAAATGACTGAAATTAAAATATATTTTAAATTTTTATTTAAGTAATCAAAAGAAAAAATTCAAAAAGTCTTCATAACAAGAATAATAATAATAACGTACATCATTTTCTCTTAATGAGAGTTCAGATATATTATTTATTTGTTCTTCATGTTTTTCTTCTTCTTCTTCTTCTTCTTGTTTACAATGTTCATTCGATGAATGCATTGGATTAGAAGATGTATTAAGATTACTTATCTCGTCTTTATCCGTAGATAATAACGAGTCAGACATCTATTAAAATAAAGTAAATTATTTGATTTTGCTTTCTTCTTCAATGTTAAGTTTTTCTTTTGTTCACATCAAATCAACGAAAAAAAAAAACAGAATTTTATCGTTTGTTTTTCATGGTTTTTTTTGTTTTTTGGTTAGATGGCTAGACGTACCACAATTAGGAAAGAATATAGGAACAAGAAGAAGAAGAAGAAGAAAAAAAACAAGAAAAATATAGAGATGGAAGAAGAAAATATATTGAAGTTTTGTTCTCTTCCTCGTTTTTTTCCCTTCTACATCAGTGCTATATTCCGGCACCACGCCAATAGTCCTGTTCATTGAAGGGCAAGACAAAGATCTGGTTTTTTTTTTCTTTCCTTACAGACACTGATGACGACAATATGATCAGACAAATGACTACTACCAAGAAAAAAATACATCAAGAAGTACTTCAATGTTTTCGTATACTTATAAACATATATTTATGAACAACATATATGATAGACATCTATATTTATCTAGATGTCGTTTTAAATACTGCTTTTCTTATAGTTTTTTTTTTTTTTACAAAAAATGATCCTTCAATAATTTCGCGGAAGTCATAAAACTAATATTTTATTGCTTATCCGACTGTTATTAATATTAGGAATAGAAAGAGAATTCAATTAGAATTATATTAAATGTCATATTGTTCTTCATCAATCAATTCTTAAAGAAAAAAGAAAAAAATCGAATTTATTGAATAAATTTACATGAGAAATATTTCATAAAGCTTTTCATATAGTATTTGTAGTAAATCATGACATATTCTATAAGTTTATTGAATAATTTTACAAATGAAACCATATTAAAAAAAAAAAATAAAATTTTCTTATTTTCGAATATTAAAATATTCTCAAGTGTCATTTTCAAATCGTCATGATTTATATGTATTACTTCCATAACATATTCCGCACATGTCATAAAAAATATATATTGAATATAAAACACATATGTCTAAACTGATTTGTCCTTCTAATCTAATATCTCTAAATAAGTTTAAAATGAAATTCTTACTAATTATTGGATAGATAATCTTTGAAAATATTCAACGAACAGTTTCATAACAATCCATTTCCAAATCTTGTAGGATTAGTTTCACTAAGCGAATATGCAGTACAATAGAATTCTATATAATTTAGAAGACTCTAATACACGAAGAAAAGATTGCAATTCTAAACTAACAAAATACTCTTTATTTTTGATATGATAGTTACATTATAACAGAGATCATACATAAGTGATAAGAAAATAATAATGTCATTTTTACATTTAACAACAAACTATCTAACTATCACATTACACATATATAAGAATATCATAATATCGTTGACCAAGAAGATTATCTATACGATGTTTTCTTTTCTCATGAGACTAATGCACATAAGGATGAAATTTTTTGTTATTTGATTCAATTTTAAGATATATTTATTTGATATAAGAAAAGGCTTTTGTTTTCTGCGACGACAAATCATATGAAATAATTAGCAAAAGTGAACAATTTTCATTTAATGAAGATGACACTATGATGGTCATGATCATAGATTTTCACTTATATAATATTATTTTTCTAGCAATGTCAATTCTTTTTAGTTATGGTGTCATATCATCAGAGTAATGAAAAAGTCTTTCTACAAAGCGCGAGAGTTTTAATAAATTTAAAATATTTCATAATTAACCCATTCTAATATTAAAACCAAATCATTGTTATATATATATACGTTTCTTTTTTCAAAATTAAAGTCAAATAGTATTAATCATTGCTAACTCATTTGATATAATAAATAGAAAATCTTGTAGAATTTACATAATAAAAGAAAAAAAAACAATATGTTTTTAATATTTTTATACTTTAAATTTGTTTATTTTTTTTTTTCTGAAGTAATTTAACGAGAATTCTCTTTACATCTAATACTAACACTAATAACATTAACCTTTGAACAAATCGTGCTTATTTCATAATCTCTTCTCTCAGATGATCAATTATAACAAATATCTTTTTGTTTTTTCTCCTATGAATTGTAATTGATATTTATTCTCTAGTCAATTCATAAAAGAAAAAGACATCCTGACATATGATGATCAAATAAATATTTTTAATGCATCTGGAGATCAATTGATAGTTGATAAATGACCATTGATTATATTCTCTAATTCGAATGTTTTTTTTTTTGTTCTGATAAAGTTGATAACTATGTTAAAATATATTTTTGTTTTTATAGAATAAATTAGAGCAAAAATAAAGATCAAGAAGTTTAACCTATTCAAATATCTGGTAATAATAAAACATTAAGATTCATCTCTATACAAAATTTCAAATCAAAAAATTAACACTCAATTTTCTTAGAGAAAAGTCACTGCATGAATATCCTGAGTTACTAACATTTTCTTTTTGTTATAATCACAATGAATCACTAAAACAAATGTAGTGCTTGAATATTTTGAGTCAAAAAAAAAAATAATTGTTCGTGATTTAATATGTGGTACACTTCATTAGAATACAATCAACATGACATTAAAGAAATAGTGGGAGTTATTTGTAGTATCCTGCAATATTTGTAACAGCAGGTGCACAGAGTAGAAGCAAAATGTCAATAACATCTGCTGTGACAAAAACACAAGCTGTTGTACATTTTTATTTTCAAAATTGTTGAGTGCGTTTTTTTTTTTAATTCTTTAAGAACTTTTTTTTTCTTTTATCAAATAGATCAAGAAATAATAATTTTGCTTTTCCCTTTTATAGATAATTGTGTTTTTGTTAATAAAGATTTCTTAATTTTCAAACGAGAAAAAAAAAATCTCTTTAAATCAACTTATAAAACTGTAATAGAATGTTCTTTTTGTTTCTAGTTATATTAATTCAATTTATTTGAACACTTTTTGTAGTAAATATGTATGATATGTGACCTAAAAATGACTGTAAAGTGCATCATTCTTTCTATGTTTCAGACATTATTGTCTAATATACATTTATTCGATAGACAAAAGATAATAAATAATTAAATGATTAGTAATAATTTGTTATTCATTGTCAATGATGACTATTAAGCACAAACGAAAGGTATGGCGTATGTTATATATTTATCACTGGCTAGGTATTGGATCTATGTGTTGTACAATACTATAAAAGTAAACATATTGTGATTGTATATGTATTTAATATCCGTTTTTCTCTTTCTGTTTGATAATAACAGGGGGACATCTACCTTTGACAGGTGTATATTTATGTAATTGAATACAAGGCCAATAGCTCTGTTTTTTCTTCATATTCATCTATTTCGAATCATTTTTGATTTACCGTATCAACATATAAAGTCATTTTAGACATCCTGTGATCGTTACTTAAACATGTAAATAATCTACTCAATTAAGGGTCACAAAAAGAACATAAGTAATTTTAAATACGATTATTTTCTATCAAATAACTTCATTAATAATAATAATAAATCTCAAAAAAAAAAAATTGTAATAAACTTAATTTTCTAGATAAATTAAGTTTTGCTTCGTATGGCAACGAGAAAAAATTTGGAACCTTCAAATAAAGGTAAAGATAAAATCTCAACAAAAAAAAAACACCATCTTCACTTCTATGTTTATTTTAGATAAAGCAACTCGTTCTAATGGTAAAAATGATCATGAACATAGTCATCAATCAACTCATGATCAAAGTGAAATACAATGTTTTTTTAATGCATGTGATCGAGAAGCAAGTGAAAAATTATTACGTGATGCATATACAAATTGTAAATAAAAATATTTAACTTTGTTTTATTTTTATTTTTATTTTTTTTTTGTTGTTATTTAGATAAACAAAAAAATGGTATTTATATGTTACGTCAATCACAACGAGATGAAAGTAAATTTATTTTATCATTAATTAAAGATGGACAATGTTTTCATTATCGTACACATCATAATGGAGATGGAACATTTCTTGATGAACAAACTAATTCATCTTTTTATTGTAAATTTATTTTTGTTTAAGATATATATATATTGTTGTTTTTTGTTCTATTTAGCATTAGATGATTTGCTTGAATTTTATCAAGGAGATGGTGTACGTTATTTACGTTGTCCATTAACAATACCTTTACATGGTTATCCATTACCAGCATTTGCACAACGACGTGGTATAACAACAATTCTTCATCAAGCAGCTACTAGAGGTCAACGAGATGTTATTCAATCGATTCTTAATGATCAAAATTGTCCTGATATTCATTCGAAAAATGAAGAAGGTTTAAATACAAAAAAACATTTATTTAAGAAAATTTTCATTCTATTTTCTTGAAAAGGAAATACACCATTACATGAAGCATGTTTTTTTGGGCGTGATGATGCTGTTAAAGTATTATTACAAGCTGGTGCTAGTTGGAAACTTGTAAATAGACTTGGATGGACATCTTTACATGTAAATGAAATTTTTTTGTTTTTGTTTTCCTTTTTAATTTATGAAATTAACAGTTTTTTTTTTGTTTCACGTTTAGCAAGCAGCTCTAGGAAATAGTCCGACTATTATTGATTTACTTATAAAACGTATTCATGCAGATATTGATGTACGAAATCCATTTAATTTATATGCACCAATTCATTGTGCTGCTGCAAATAATCATCTTGAAGCTATAGGAGTAATTCAATGTGTTATAAGATGTATTTAATAACTATTATATTCTCTTATATAGATTATAATTGCACATGATTCACCATTACGACCATTGACAGAAGATGGAGAAACACCTTATGATTTAGCTGTAAAACAAAATGGAACTGAATGTGCTGAAAAACTAGGTAAATTTGATTGATTTTTTGTTTTTGAAGAGTTAGTTTTATAATTATAGCGGCAATTCAATCAAAACCTGCTGTCTCTCGTCGTTCAAGTTACTATCATGGTTCATTAACGAGTAATGTATGTAAAATTATTAACGAAACTCTTTTGGAAGTTCACATATGTTTTCTTTTATCTCAATATACTAATAGAGAATATGTCAATCAGAGAACATCTCTAAATGATCTAGTCTGTTTGTTTCTATACTCTCTTCATATGTAGAAGTGCATCGAGTTCAAAAGATTACTAATGAGACTTCGATATTTCAAAATATTTCTATTTTATATAAAAGCATAGGAGTGAAAACAAGTTCGATTATAATTAAGCAATTTATTGTACTTGAGAATAGGTCGCAGAAGTAGAGAATGGTATTGGTTTATTAAAACAATTTCGTTTTTTTTTAATAAAAATTCATCTACAACCATATGGCGCAGTAACTGAAATATATAGAAAATGAAATGAAACACTGCGTTTGATTTCAGCATTATCGGAAAACAAACAAACATACATCTAACAAAATTGATCGAATTTTAGAAACAGAAAAACACCAAGTGAATTCTGAATCACTTCCTTTTTTTGCTGCTGTTTAAACAAAAGAAATGAAATTGTATAATCAAAGTTTGAGAATAGTACTGTGATTGTGAAAGTAACTGCTGCATGTCAGTTAGCTCTATTTGAATACAGCTAACAAAAATCGTACTCATACAGGACACTAATATTATGTAAGATAGAATTGTATTGAAAAATCTATATCTTGGAAATATTATATATAAAATAGTTTAATCGAAATTTTCATATTTACAAAATTTTAGACTGAAAATCTTAAGCATGATTCTTTTTTTTTCGAAAATTGAATTCTAACAAGAGAAATTTACTAAAAGTTTGCTATTTTCATTAACTTTAAACATAAGTAAGTATCCTTTGAAGGTGATACAACTGTCAGTCTTCTAATAGATATGAGCAACAAATAGAGCGAATCACCTGAGAATGTTCCTTCATAAGTGAAAGATTTTTAATACATTATTCTTTTTCAAGAAGAATCGATCGTCAAAAAAAAACAAATCTATCCTATTTATTCTACATTTCGAGCAGAAATTTTTCTTTTAACTGAATGTTGTTATTAATTCCGTTCAACGCTTTGTTCTATTATTAAAAAATTCTGAGAAATTAGCGTGACATATATTGTCCTTGACTACTTGTAAAACGTATTCAATAATCATTGACCTTTTTGTTTACTCCCCATTGTTATAAGAAAAAAGTCGCAAAACTTTAACCTCGTGATTTCTATCATCGAAATCTTTCGTATTGATAATTTTGATATGAATAACTCATTAATTTCATCATATCACTTATAGTGTTCATAACAGATATGTTCAAAGTTCCAAATTATTTTTAAAATCAATATTCAATGTCATTGTGACATATGTGTATTACTATATAGTAGTGGCGGAGCCAGGATTTTTTGGTATGCTTAATCTCAGTTTTAAAGCATGGGATCCAAATGAAAATTGATGGAGGTTGATATTGGTCTTCATTGATGACTTTCCATCAGACGATTTTTGTAATAGAAGCTTGCGAAAAAAATTAGCATTTTCCTGAGCCCACCCAAGAAATTTCTTACATTTTTAGTAATATCCAATTTTTAAGAACTCCATAGAAAGCTACATCGAATTTCATCGAGAGATTTCAAATTTCATCTTGAAATATTCATCCGTTCAGGAGTTATGACGTTTTGAAGTTTTGGTACGTTTCGAAAAAATTACACCAGAAGTTCAAAACGTCATAGCTCCTGAACGGATGAATATTTCAAGATGAAATTTGAAATCTCTCGATGAAATTCGATGTAGCTTTCTATGGAGTTCTTAAAAATTGGATATTACTAAAAATGTAAGAAATTTCTTGGGTGGGCTCAGGAAAATGCTAATTTTTTTCGCAAGCTTCTATTACAAAAATCGTCTGATGGAAAGTCATCAATGAAGACCAATATCAACCTCCATCAATTTTCATTTGGATCCCATGCTTTAAAGCTGAGATTCAGCATACCAAAAAATCCTGGCTCCGCCACTACTGACGGATTAGAATATTAAATATGATTTAAAACATAACATTTATCTAGTTTTATACGAACAGATAAAAGTATTTTACATTTAGTTTTATTGTTTGTAATTAATTCGATACTATATTCATCATGTTTATGGAAAGCGTAACAAAAATCTTCTTCTATGAGTTTTGATAAATAAGAAACTAACCGATGTTTATTTTTAGCAAATGCGAGCTTTATTAAATTGTTTTAAAAAACAAGATGGTTTATTTTTTGTTCGACAAAGTTCATCTGTTCAAGATGATTATGCAATATCAATTATTTGGCACAATCGACTTATTCATGAAAAACTTCATAAAAAAGTTTGCTTATCTAAATCAATAAAAAACAAAATTTTTTTTCTTTAATTCATTTAGAATTCTTATTCATATTATTTTGAAACTCGTCTTCATTATCATGATAGTCTTGAACATGCTATGGATTATTTTATGAAAATTTATAAAGGTGTTGTTAAACCATTAAGTCCAGGTACAAAATATCTTCAAAAAAAAACTTATTTTGAATTATATGTTTATGTTTTTTTGTCTTACAGAAGCAGCAAAAGTAGCTTATGCAAATGATTTCTCTCCTTCAATATCTCAACGATTATTTTCATCAAATTCTAAAATTCTTAAATCATCTAATCATTTTCTACCTGAATCATCTAGTTTTGATACTACGGGAACTTCCGGTTAGATTTTATTTTTTACATCTATTAAATAAGTGTTATAAATTTTATTTCTCAAATAGACTCTCATCCATTTAATAAAGGACGTACACAAACTGTACATAATAAACAACAAATGCTTCCAACAATTGGTAATTTATGAAGAATATTCGATGATTTCATATATGTATTTGTTTGTTTTTTTTTCGTTAGAGAAAAGACTTGTTGATCCATTGGTAAATAAAAGAGTGGTTATTATTCGTGAAGAACAATTAAAATTTGGTAAAGTATTAGGTGAAGGTAATTTTGGAAAAGTTTATGCTGGTGAATATCGAGAAGAACATGGACGAAGTGTAAGTTAATTATGTTATGAAAAAAAAAAGAAAAGATTTAGTCTATTATTATTAATATTTAGGTACCTGTTGCTATTAAAGCATTAAAAGCAACAATGGATGCAAGTGCTCGAGAAGAAATGAAAAAAGAAGCTTTTGTTATGAAAGAATTATCACATCCATGTATTGTTCGTCTTTATGGTGTATGTCAATCGAGAAAAATGAACAGTACATTGATGGTATAAATGATTTGCTCTACAAATATATTCTCATATTGAATGGCTTAATTAAAAGCTTCATATTTATTATCACATCTCCATCAAAAACAAAAAAAAAAGAAATATATGCCTACCCTTCGGTTATTGGTTCAAGCAAACTAACATTCTACGCACTAATAATTAATACAATTGAAGCTTTTGTGTGTTTTTATTATATTTTATTTATTTTTTAATTTATTTATTTAATATCTATTAGGTTCAAGAACTTTTATCAATGGGTGCATTATTAGATTATTTAAAAAAACATGTAGAAAATGCGACACGTACATTATTTAGTTTTTGGGTTATACAAATAATACATGGAATGGCTTATATGGAACGAAAACGTTTTGTTCATCGAGATCTTGCTGCAAGAAATATTTTAATGCAATCACATTCACGAGTAATTAGAAAAGAAAATAATAAATAAACAAATTTATTATTGTTCTTTTTTTTTAATAAAACTAAAATATTTAATTAATTTTCTAGATAAAAATATCTGATTTTGGTTTATCACGTAGTGTTGATTCAAATGATTATTATGTTCAACATAGTGATACACCAATACCAATTGCATGGTAATGAAAAAAAAACATTTAAATTATTTATAATTTTTTTTTAATTTTCTAAATATCAGGTATGCACCAGAATCACTTTTTCATTATAAATTTACAAGTAAAAGTGATGTTTGGTCATTTGGTGTTACAATGTGGGAAATATATTCATTCGGTCAATATCCGTATGGATCTATGCCGACAGAAGAGGTTTGTATATTGTCTTCATAAAAGTTTTAATTATTAAAAATATTTATTGCCAAAATGGAATATTGGAATTTGTTTGAAGGAAAGAATTTTCATTTTCTGTCATTATCTGTTCGAAAGATATGTGGGTTTTTGAAAAAGTATGAAATGATTTTTTCTTCTTTTCTGATTGTGCATTCCGAAAGTCTCGAACAAATTTCATTGTAGTCGATGACTTTCAAACAAGGGCTCTACATTCTGACTTGTTCTCTCAAAGAAAATAAATTAAGTGTATAGAATGGAAACCCATAGAGAACTTCAGGTTGCCGAATTATTTATTTTTGACTCTTGTTTATTCAATATTTGATAAAATCGTAAATGATATAGAACTAAAAATTCTACCATAGTCTCTCCATTATAGCCTCAACATATCTTGAAACTTTTGTATGATTTCAATGTTCCTACCTCAAGATCAGAGATGTCCATCGCGCCGCTGCCGCGATGGCCTGTGGCGGCAGCGGCAGCGGCAGGTTTTTTAAAAAATCACTGCGGCAGCGGCGCGGTAGCGGTAGATTTTTTAAAAATCATCGCGGCAGCGGCGCGATAGCGGCAGGTTTTTTAAAAGACCATCGCGGCAGCGGCGGGATTTTTTTGGGGAACATTGAAAAACTGCATGAATTTAATAGAATTTCAGGGTTTACAAATGAAATATCCCGAGACTGAATGAATCTGATGGTCTAGTACCAATATCTCTGGTCAAATATAGTCGCAGCAGTGAAATTAGAAACACTTTTTTGTAAACCGCCGCGGCAGCGGCGCGGCGGCGGCACGTTTATTTTATAATTCATCGCGGCAGCGGCGCGGCAACGTTTTTTTTATAAGCCATCGCGGCGCGGCAGCGCCACGGCAACATTTTTTTATAAACCGTCGCGGCGCGGCTGCGGTGCGGCAGCTTTTTTTTCTAAGGCCGCGGCGCGGCAGCGGCAGATTTTCAGCCACGATGGACATCTCTGCTCAAGATCGACTTTTGAGAAATTGAACGTAGAGCCGGTCGGATTATTCTCAGACCAGGACTCTGCAGTATCCCTGAACACACAAGTTATGTATTCCTTCGTAAATTCTCTAGAGACTCTCTCAGGAAGTTTTTGTCTATTGGACACTCAATACAGATTTTTCGGAGATCCTAATCAAAGATTCTGCAAGTGAGAGTCTACTATGAATATTATCTTCATTAATGAAATTTGAATCTTTTTTAGATCACACAATTTATTGAATCTAATGGTCGTCTTCAACGTCCAGCTGGTTGCAGTAGTTCTGTATATGAAATAATGCTTTGGTGTTGGACACATGAACCACATGATCGTCCATCGTTTCGAGATTTACTAAAATTTTTAGCTAATCGATCGGAATTTTCTAAAGCTGTTCGACATTTTCAATCATTATCAAACTATTAAAAAAAATCGACAACACACATTCATATAAATATTATTTATTGATTTATTGAATTACGTTTTAAGAAAAAAAAAAAAAGACAAAGTCACACAAATATATAAACTCTATTGATTGATAAAAGAAAACACCACTAACTTTCATTGTTCTTTTATATTAATAATAAAATCAACTAGAAAAAAAAACAGAACATTTGTTTTTTTTTAAACTCCATTTGTTGATATTCGTTTTTCATTTTCACGTTTAGCTTGAAAAATACAAGCTTTCATTCGACTTAAATCACGTTTTCCTTTTGATAATTGTGTACCTTGATTAACTTCAATAAAACGTAAAACTTTACCCCAATCACATATATTTTTATCACTTTTTTCTAATGATTTTGTACGTAAATCATCTTCAGCATTTTGAATTGTTAAACGATTTTTTTCCATATGTAATTTTCGTTCTTGATACCAACGTTCTAAATCATTTTTAGCTTGTTGTCGTAATGTATCAATTTTTTTTCGTTCTTCTTCATCTTTTTCATTTATTTCTTGTTGACGACGTTTATTAAATGCTTCTAATGCAGATAAATTTTCTTCTGATGATATTCCTGTTGTAAATATATTTGTATCAACTGGTACAGATGATGATACAGGTTGTGAAAACATATCATATGATGATGTTTCTTCTTTAGAAAATGAAAAAAAAAATTAAAGCTTAAACCGAAAGAAAAAAAAAAAACCTGATTGAAGTGTTGATTGATCATTATAAAGAACATCATTTGTTGCTGGTTCATTATAAAAACCATCAGTTATTGTTGTATCATTAAAAAGAACATCATCGGTTGTTGATGGAAGTTTATTTGTAGAAGATGTATTTAATTCATTTATATTCGATGGATTTGTTAACATACTATCATCGAATGATGTTATTGGTGAAGCTGAATCTAAATTAGTTAAAGTATTTTCACTTAATATATTAGTTTCTGATGTTGTTGTATTATTAAAATTCTAGATGAAATATTTTAAAATAAAAATTATTAATGTAATAAAAAGATTTGTTTTCATACATCTTCAAGAACCCAAGAATCTTCTGGTGGATTATTACTGACAGTATCGACTGGTGCTGTATTTATTGGATTGGTCATAGTTCCAGTTCCAAAGAAATCATCCTCTTGTATATTTGTATTTTGTGATTCTGATACTTGTGTTACTTCAGCAGGTGATTGAGTGAATAAATCAAAATCATCCATTTTTTTGTTCGTTTGTAAATGTTTATTTTAATAGCTCTCTGTTTTTTTTTATTGTAATATTGACTAAATTTGTCTTACACTTCTTCGTCTTCACAACCAATGTGGCTGTTTTTTTATCATTGCATATTACTTATCTCGTTTTTTTTTTGTGCCTATGTGTTATTAATAAACAAATAAGATATACGAATTGAATAGATATGAAATAGGGTATCTCTTTTTTTTTTTCTTATTCGAATATGTTAGATATGAATTCATAAAGATAATATTAAGTTTGTGTTATACGATACTATCAGTAATTGTTAGTCAATAAATATATTTTTAATTGTGTACAAGTCTAATGATTGTATATTCAATTATTTTATTTTTTTGTTTTTGTCTTTTGATACAAATAATAATATGTCTATTTACAACTATTGTGAAAACAAAAAAAAAAAAAACGAGAGACAAGCAATAGAAAAAGTGTACGTGTTCGGTTTTTTCCCTTTCATTCTAGAAAATGACTAATCTTATTCTTGCCCAACAGTAAAAAAGATGAGTCATACTACCTACATGATTATTTATTGAGAGAGCATACATAGGCAGACAAAAAGCGATGTTTTTTTCTTAATTTGTTTCATTCATATTTAATTCTTCTAGATAATATCAACGATCGAAATTTTTTGTTTTTTAAACAATGTCCATTGTAAACTCATTCACGAATGGTGCACATGAAGTATATTGAAAAAAATAAAAATTCTTATTTTTTTTTGTTTTCTATTTAATAAAAATAAATTTGTTTTTTTCTTTTCTACTTCTATTAGGATGATTCTGATATAACTATTATAAATCCTTCAATTGTACATGAACATAATGATGAGTATGTACCTATAATAACACGTTTAAAACAAGTTAATAATTCATCTGAAATTAGACAAGCAACAAATATTGAAACAAATAATAATATATTAAAAAATGAAAATAATGATGGTAAACAAGAATATATATTTATTGATCATAATCCAAATGAAAATGCTAAACAACTTGAACAAATATTAATACATTATATACGTGATCTAAAACAAGAAACAAATACACAAAATGATTGTGATCAACAATTAATAACACGTTTAATGGATATTATTCGACCAGTATATACAAATGATGAAAAAAAACTTAATGAATTAGATAATATAACAAAAGAAATAGCATCATTACATGATAAACGATATATTGAACAAAAAGAAAAAATTGAACAATTACATACAGAAATATGTCAATTAAATAAAATGTTACTCACGAAAAATGAATTATTAATTTATAATGATAATAATCAAAATGATTCAATGTTTCAACCAAAACGTATGAATTAATTTAATAATAGATTTCGTATTTTTTTTTATTTTCTAATTCTATTTCTTTTTTTTAAGCATCAATCAATGATTATGATCAATGGACTGAAATAGAAGATGATGCAAAAAAACTTCAAGAAATTGTTCAAACACAACGAGATCAAATTGAGAAAATTGTTACTTTAATAAGTCAAACCGGTAAAATATTGATTCTCAAATATTTATAATTTTTCTTTTTTTTTCTTTATAGCAACAGCTTCAACTACCCTCAATCCAACTGATGTTCCTATCAATGATACCGAAACTATTATAACTGAACAACCAACAAAACCAAATGCAAATACTAACATTATAAATAGTCTTTTAAGAAAAGTTCAATATTTAACTGGACATCATACACAACAGGAACCTGCTACAAATGATTCATTAGAAAGAACAACACTTGAAAATCATTCACCTGGTATATCACCTAGTCAATCATTAGCTACTTTAACTGTACAATCATTACAACCAACAATTATTGATCAAAAAGAAAATCTTGAAGAATCACAAGATAAATATGATGAAGAATTAAATAATAAAGAAATTATTAATAAAGAATTAATTATTGAAGAACCACGTACACCAACAAATACTCCAATAATGTCAATGACACCAAAAGAAACAAAAAAATGTCCTGTTTGTAATATTGAATTTTCATTAACAACAAATGATGAAGAAGTATATGATCATATTGAAAAATGTTTATTTCCATCTAATGAAAATACAGTACCAAAAGATTATGAATGTCCATATTGTAATCGAAAACTTCCTGGCAATGAGGAAGTAGCTTATATTCAACATTTATCTGATTGTATTAATAGAGAGTTTTAAACTATTATTTAATACAATTAAAATATATAAAAGACATTGATATTTTTTTTTGTTTTGTTTTAATATATATATACATATAATATGCTCGAGTAGTGTGGCTACTTTTTTTTTTTCTTCTTCTTCTTTCAATAAAAAACATATTCTCGCTATTTAAAAGTTATTAAATAAGCGATTATAAATATGAATCTTTATTCAATTGACATTTGATTGATTGACAAATTTTGAAGATTTTTAATGAGGTTAACTAAAATTTTTTAAGCTAATGAGATTTTGAAAAATAAAACTCAAAATTCTGACTCCCCCTTGTTGCGTAATAAACTGTAACAGACGTTCATGTATGATGAAGAAATGTATCTAAAAATAAAACAATCTTTCTATGATTAGGAACAACAACTACATTTTGTTCTATATTTTAACATTGCAAGGATTGCGCTAACAGCTTTTTTTTTTTTGTATTTTTCATATATCTTAAACACAGTAAAAAGTCTAACGAATGAAATAACATTATGAAAAGTATAATTAAAAACGCTTCATTATCAATTCTCTATGTTTTTTTTCTTTTACAATTTATTCTATTGCAATTCTTAAAACAAAAAAAAAAGATTTTTCAAAATAACATCAAAACGGGTAATTATTCAGTTTCTTAAATTGTTATATGAATATCTAGAAAAGAAACGATTTCACATTAGAAACAAAACTATCGACATCCAAATCGATTCTAACTAGGAAAAACAAAAATAGATTTAACTACCATTTAGTAGTCGTAAAAAGTTCAGTTACCATATAAAATGTCTTGAAATTTCCTTTAGTGAATGCGCTGCTCTAATAAAAGTTTTCCTAGACCTTTAGATTACAGCAGATTGTAGTATTCTATATTGTGAAACACTATAGACCAGAGATCCGCGTAGAATAGGACAATTATATCTCACATCATTTCATATGAGGTGTTGAAAATATTCCATTCTATAAGGTAAACGAATTTTGTTAACAACAATATAATCGTTTCGACATAGATGTTTTTCTCGACTTCTTCTATCATCATATATTATCCTCAGCTTTTGTTGTTGATTAGCTGTTTGTGAATTTACAACTAAATAAATTAGCTGCTCATTAGAAAAAGGTCTTTTGAGTTATAAAATTATAAAAAAAATACAAAGAATATATTATCTTTAGTTTATTCGTAGATTTCTTGTTTTTCAATCAAGAAATCTCGTATAAGAAAATAATTTGAATTAATGTGAAGCTTTGTCAATTCATTGTGAAAATAAGTAACAGAAACATAAACTTCATTATACTAAAAGAAATTATGAAATTAACAAATGAAAAGCAGAACTATGTCAAAAAAGAAACCAATATTTTCATCTTAAAAATTCTTTGTATTGAGACCTATTAACTTCAGATTGTTGTTTGCGATCAAAGTTCATTGAATTCTATTTTGTAATCAAAATCTCAAGGAAAAGGATTAAAGTTTATTTATTACTACTGTATCTATAATGTGATTTTTGACCTTTACAAAAAAAAATAAACCACATACCTAAATTAGTCATTCAAACTTTCTATATAAAGAAATGAAGACATTAGAATACATTCAAGTCAATAATTTATGAGAATGATATACATAGAATTAATTAATTCAGATATGATTTTGAGAATCAAAAAAAAACTCAATTCTAATTTCATAAAACATTAATTTTATGTCTCCGATATATAACCAAAAAGTACAAAAAAATAAAAAAATATTTATGCCTAAGAACTCAATTTAAAGAAAGAAACATTCACATTCATACAGGAAATGTTGTATTAAATTAATGTAACATTGAATATATAAAAATAGTTATATGATTAATTTAATACATTAGATAATATTCGAGTTTTTCTTTTCTTTTCTTACAAATTAATTGATTTTTAATATATCAATTTTGACTTGTTATATTTAAATAATTAGTGCTAAAAATATCAAGTTTTGTTTTCTGCACTTAAAATACATGGTGATTGAGTTTATAAAAGCAGCTTTATAAAATTAAAAAAAAACTAAATTGAATTCTTCTGTTATGATAAGATAATATGAGAGTATATTATTTTTTTCCCCCCTTTTTTTTCTTTCTTCATTGTCATCAGCTGTTTTCACTTCATTATTAATTTTTTATTCAAAATTTTTTTGGGTTTTCTTTTAAGAGAGAGAGAAAAAAACTACTTGAAATTTCTATCTTCTAATCAAATTTTGAAAAATCCTAATGAAAAAAAGAACTTTTTTTTTTGTGTGTGTGTTCCTATTGAAAATATGATTTTTATTATAATATATATTTAAATAGACTGCAAAAATTGATGGACAATTTGAAAAATGATATATAGTTGATTTAGAAAGAAGAAAAAAAAAATGAAAAATGTTTATTTCTTTTTTGATTTCAGTTAATTTCATTTATTTTATGTTGTTTTTCTTTATGTTCTTCTTACATAAATACATTCTAGTGGAATCATTGAAATATATCAAAGTAACAGCAACATTGTTTCATGTCGAATAAAATCATCAAGGTAACAACATTGAGAGACAAGTGTGATCATTTGTTTGCTCTTGCACATTATATGTCGACTTGTATAGGTAGAAGACGATTGACACGAAACAATCAAATTTGTGTTTCTTCTTTATACATACAAACACAAACACTACATCATAGAATAGCAATCCACTAAAGTGTCTTTTTTTCATTTAATACACAACAATATATATATATATTCATGAATTATGGCACTACAATTCGGTATGTATTTTAATTGATATTTAAATATTAAATTGTAAATGTCTTTATTAGTTAAACATAATGACACGCTATGTCACACATTATCCTTATATTTATTCTTTTGTACTAAAGACCTTGCATATTCAATACCTATCAATACGAATCCTTGTTATCTTTTTTTCATTGAATGACTATAACAAAAGAAAAAATGTATTGCATTGTAATGTTGTATATAATTTACACGGCTCTAAATATAAAAACGCAAAGAATTTTACAAGGAGAAATAGCAAATGAATGACAGTCTTATAGAAAGCGTGTGCATGCGGGTGTCTGATCGAACGAGAGTCGTTTTAATTATTTCAAAAATATAAAAAAAAAAAAAAGAATGGAAGGACAGAAAAATAAATGAGACGAACAAGACGGCTCGTCGTTGTTCTTTTCTCGTCGTCAGTGCTTTTTTGCTATTATTCAATAATGAAAAGAGAGCAAACGACACTAGAAATGATACAATACTTTTCAATGAGTATTGTTTCAAATTTTCGTTTGATTTCTTTTTCTTTTCTCTCTTTCTTCTTTCTTTTCAACTTCTTTTTTTGTTCGTCAATACATTAACCATAAGAAGAACTTTTCTATGTTTATATTATATTCATAATATATACTATTGATTAATTGAATTTACTATTATTAATACAAAAGACAAAAAAAAAAATTTATAAGAAAAAAATGCTGTAAGTACATATTTTCTTGTTGAATATTATTCAATTCAAAGTTCTATTTTATCTTTTTATTTATAATACATCTGATTAAATGCGTCGGTAGAAAAAAACTGAAAGGTTTCCTATTGAAAACAAAAAAAAAAAGATAGACGGAAGGAATAAATTGTCACATTGTGCTACCTCCTTTTTTTTGTTAATATTGCCAAAAAAAAAAAATTCGAAATCTTAGTATATTATTTATTGTTTTTTTCTTTTAATTAGTAAATTAACCCAACCTCATCTCTCCATGAATAATATGTTTCCACCGATTAATCCTCATTCAAGACCTCCATCAGAAGATTTACGTGGTGTAAATACAAATGGTCCAACAGAAATTCATTCAGCTTCAAAACAACAACAAATTCGACGTCAACAACAAACAATAGATCAACAACGACGAAGTCCATTGAGAAGTAATTCGTTATTACCAACAACAACAAATAGATATGTAACAGCGGCAGCAGCAGCTGCTGCTGCTGTTCCATCGCCTTCTGTATCGGTTTCACCTCTTGTACGTTCACCATCATTTGTGCAAACTGGTTGTTCTTCAGCACAATTTGAACCTGCAAAAAGTGAGCTAGATATAACAATATCAGTATCAACAGCAAATTCTTCTTTAACATTCATCTATCAATACTCGAAAATGTTTATTCTTTTTTTCTTTGATTAAAATGAAAAAGCATGCTCGTAACACTAATGCTATATAAAAATAACATACCTGAGGAGAAAAAAGAAAAAACCTTTTTTTTTTTTTTTAAAGACAAAATGAGGAAAAAATATATATATATTATATTTTTTTTTGTTTAGTCATATATCGTTCAAATGATTATGCATGGAATGATCATTCAAATAATATAAATGCTTCTAATCAAGCATTACGTTCTGGTAGTCCAATAAAAAATAAAATAATAACATCAGCAAGACATTTAACTAATGGAACATTACATGAAAGTACAGCAGCAACAACTGGAAATTCTATAATTCATATACCAACACCATCAACACCACAACAAAATATACGAGATGATATGAATAATGGAGATTTACTTGTATCATCAACAGCTAAATCTCGTCATACAACAAAATTTCAACGTACAAATAGTCATTTAGATAAATCACCAGGTACAACAACTGGTTATGCTTTACCAATACGAAGTGAAAGTTATCGTTCATCACGTCTTGATTATGGTTTACGTCCACGACATACATCATCAAAACAACGAAATTATGTTAATTCAAAAACATCATTTCATGAAGTAAATAGTGGTGAATTTTATTTAACAAATGTCCAAGATGAAAATATTTATTATCATCAACAACAACAACAAATGAATTTACTTAATAGTACACAACGTTTAAATGGTTCAACACTTGATTTAACAGCAAGTAGAAAACCATTATCACCAAATCGTTCAAATACATTTAATGTACAACAAACAGGTCAAATTGGATATTTTAATTCATCACAAGAACTACATCGTAGTGAAACAAATATTGATAAAAATAA